GCGCTGCTTCCTGCCTTTTGTGAGCCCCTGTCACAGAGCCTTTCTGTTCCCCTCCTTTATGCCACTGCAGCTGGCGTTCCTGCCCCCAAAGGTGCCCGAGCATGGGGGAAGGCGTAGGGGTTAAGGGCCCCATGGTGTTTGCCAAGTGGGAGAGGGGAGAAGGACCTGGCTTTGTTACTGTGCTGGCACCACACTTTTCCCATTTCCCACGCACCCAGGTGTCGGTTGGTGTCACCCTACAGGTCTCCAGTCCATAATATTGGGGGAAAAGGTGCAGCCATGGGTGCTGGCTGGGCTGGGCTCTCACACCGTGTCCCAGCATTGGGGACATGGAGGAGCACGGATGGTCACGTTTGAGGCAGCACCACTGCTTGAGCACAGCAGGATGGGGTCAGCCTCAAAACGCTCACCTGCTCCTGTGAGCACCATGAGGGGTGAGGATGCTCCTGGTCCCACACCCACAGCGGTACTCACACCTGCACTGCATTCCCTCCCTGAGGATGTCATCAGCTCTTCCCCTCTCCCAGGAGGGAGCTGACAGCAGCCGTACAGCCTCGGATGGGTGATTCCTCCCCAGAATTCCATCCCCTGCCCTGGGGATGGCTGTGGGATGAGCCCGGTTAGCAGCGAGCCCCATGGAATCATAGAATCATAGGCAGCCCCAGCCGTGTCGATGTGCCGCCGGCCATTTGTCTTGCTGAGTGAAGGTGCCGGCAGTGAGTTATCGGAGCTCTCCTCTGGAGTGGAGATAAATGTCACAACAGACACCAGCCAGCATGGCTTATGGATGAGGATTTAATAGACACTGCTCCCCCCGCGCTGGCAGCTGCGCCGTGCCTGGGGAGCGTGGCCTGTGGTGGGACAGCGCTGAGGACCATCAGCTGTTCCTAAGGGCAAGAAGTGAATCTGTGGGGTCTCTGTGCCTCCTGGCCGAGCCCTGGAGCCTTGGCAGGATGGAATGGGAGATGCTGCTGCACGTGGCACAGAGGGATGTCCTTAGTCCTCCATCCTTTGTGAAGGAAGGGACTTGGGGTCTGCTGTGGGGTCCAGCTGCGCCTCCAGCCCATCCTCATTCTCCACCTTGTCCCCATGGCATCTCCCACCCATGAAAAGCACCAGCAGCTCTGCCCCAGGCTGCTCCCAGTGCCTGGAGCTCGCTGTGTCCCACGTCTGCAGGCACAGCAGGGTCAGGCTGGCGGCCCCCTGCACAGCAGCACGTGGTCACTCTGCTCCTTGGCTCTGCTCATTTTCAACCCCATCCGGTTATGTCCAAGGGAACAGAGAGGGGATTGGTGCATCTTTTTGAGCTGGAACATGGGTTTCTGGTGAAATCCTGCAGCAGTGTTGCCGTGACGACCCTCCTGCAGCTTCCATCCAGAGATGTTTTCCTTTGTTGTGACAGGGACGCGGGGAGGGCGCTGGGGAGGCGGCCGCGGGCGTATGGGTGCAAAACATGGGACGGGACGAGGGCCACGACCTGCTTCTGCCCCCAGGGACATCAGCACTGGGGATGGGACATCGGCACAATGCACCCCCCCGCCACAGAATGGCTATAGGGAGCAGGAGCCACACGTGGCATGAGTTTGGAAGCTCTCAGCCATGCGTGCCTCCTGCCAAGGACCACCACGCAGATGGGACCCCGTTACTGAGCAGCGCAGTCGCATTGCTCAGGGTGCACGTGGGGACCCATCCCGCACCCCACAGAACTGCTTGTTATTCTCCTCAGGTTTGCTGCCAGCTAATGGAGCTGGTTCCAGGAGAGCTGCCACGTTCATTGGGAGAGCGGCGTGTTAATGAGGCCCCTGCCACTGCAGCTGGGACCAGCACTCGGGGCACTGGAACGGGGACAGGCAGAGGATGGATGGACGGACGGCTCGGCGGGGCCGGATGCAGGGTGAGCAGCAGCGTCAGGTTTGGGTGAGATGTGGCTGTGGTGTCAGTGCTGGGTTTGGAGCAGGGCAGCACACCCTGATGGCAGCTCACCTTGGTGACAAGAGGTGGCAGGACACCTCGATGCTCCAGAGGGGATGAGCTGAGCCCCATTGCCATGGATACGCTGTCCCCAGCCCCACTGCTGCTCCCTGTAGTGTCCCTGCTCCTGGTCAAAGCTAGTACTGCACTGGACTTGACCCCAGCATGGTGACCAGGGCACAGTGGGGTCTCTGTCCATGCAGTGTTGGGCTGGAGGCTGCCGTGGGTACAGTGCTGGTGCTGGGGCTCTGCCCTGGCCAGGCACAACTCCCTCCAAACCCACCAGCAGGATGAATTGATTTTATTTTCTGTTTCCATAGCAACTGCCTCCTTCCCATCCCCCTTCAGCCTTCTGGCAGCCCAGCCCCACTCCCGAGCCCTCCCACAGCACCCACCTTCCCTGGGGACACAGGGACACGGCTGTCACCCATCCCTGTCCCCCCCCAGGGACTCCCAGGAGTGTCACTGTCACCAGCTCTAAGGGATCCAAACCTGCACCACTGCCCCAGCGCAGCGTGGATGGGGGATTTGGGTGTGTGGTGACAGAGTACACACGTCTCCCTCCAGCATGGGCACGGGGACATTAACCCGTCCTCAGCTCTCCTGACACCAGCAGCAATTAGCACAGGGCTGGTTGTGGTGCTGTTTTATTAGCCTTGGTGGTAATTGCCCTCCTGGTCCTGACCATGCACTGAGCAGCACTTCCTGCCTGCAGAGCCAGGCTCATTAACAGCACACATCCCCCCCTGCCACCTGCTCACAGTGACATGTACTCCCTGGCCCCAGAGGCACTGTAGTGCTCCATCCCCATGGCACGGAGGGTCACTGAGCACTGTGAGTGCTCAGCACTCTCTGCTCCACCTATGGGCGCTCACCCTGCTGGGAGTTCTGCAGCCAGCCACAACAAGGTCAGTGGGATGACATCCCTCATCCTGCCTGCTCCCCATGCAATGCACTGCCATGCACGGCTCCTTCCCAGTACGAAGATACCACCACGCTGCTATGGAGCATCAATTCCCATCCCAGTGCCAGCAGCTCGCCAAACCCCTCCCAGACCCCCCATGTGGGCACCCAAAGCCCCTCCGCGTGGGGACGGGGTCAGAGCTGCATCCCATGGAGCTCCCTGAGAACAGGCACAGCACTGTGCAGGGCAGCGGCCGCGGAGCTGAATGGGCTGTGCTGCATTCACCGGTAATCCCCAGTGTTTACACGGAAGTGGAAATCAATTGCTGCAAGTAATTAACTGCAAAGGGCACAACACCCGCTTCTTCTCTGGAAGCAGCTCCTGTGCCAGCCGAGGTTGCTCAGCAAAACTCGCACGCCGGCACCCAGCACACAAAAAGCCCTGGCAGCGCTTCCTGCACTCCAGCACGACCTGCCTGCACTGCTCCTGGGGGGCTCCCAGCAGTGGGGCTCCCAGCAGTGGGGTTGGGACTCTGGCTCCATGCTGCCCTGCGGCCTCTTCAGTGGTGTTTTGGATAAAGGCAGCTCTGAGTGCAGGCTGGATGGCAGCCGGGAGCATTCAGCACTGCAGCCGGGAGCGAAGCATCCCATGGCATTCCTCGAGAGCGAAGGAGATGTAGAGGATGAAGAGCCTCGGGGATGTGAGGTGCTGAGCAGGAAAGAGCGGGCTGGGGCTGGGCCAGGGGGGGGAAATGTCAGCCTGGTGTCCCCCGGGTCAGTGGGGCTTCAGCAATGCAGAGAAGCCTCGATGTGCCCCACTCAGAGCTGGGATGCTGCTGGGAGAGGCAGGGGGGAGGAGGCGTGGGTCGCAGCAGCAGAAATAGCAGCCCGGTCCCCCGACGTGCGATTAACCGAGTGACATTTAAGGCTCCTGTGTTTTTGACCCAATTTCTCAGGCGAAACTCAAGGAGGGAGGAGGAGGAAGGTGCAGCAGCATGCGTCATGCGTGCACGTGTGCGCTGGCGTGTGCCACTGCATGCACGTGTGTGCTAGCATGTGTCCTCACCTCCACGTGTGTGCGTGCACACATGTGCCAGCATGCATGTGTGTGTGCACAGAGCTGGGGGGGACCGAGGCAGGAACACAAAGCCCCCAGGCCCTGCACAGAGCTGTGCTGCGAGGGGGAGGTGAGGGCTTTGCAGCACTGGGTTTATTTTTGCTGTTGCCTGAGCGCAGGCAGCCTCAGCACGGTCACTGTGACTCATGCCGGCAGACAAACACCCCGCGATGCTTCAGAGGGCTGCAGATCACCGCGGTGGAGGTGGTGGCTTTTGTCACCTCCCTCAGCAAATTGAGGCTGGTGGGGGATGCGGGATGCAGCAGGGCTGGGGCTGGCAGCTTCACCGAGCAGCCACAAAGACACCGAGCCATGGGCAAACACGGCAGCACCATGTGCCTGGGAGGGAGCGTCCTTAACAGCTGCTGTGTGTGTGTGCAGAGGGCTATTGCTCCCTGCGCAGCTGCTGGGGACACGGAGACTCGGGGTGTGCGGCTCAGCACCCAGCAGGGATGAGTGCTGCAGGAGGGTTGGGGTCACCCTCTGCTTCTTTCACTGGTGCAGGGGTGCTGGGGGCATGTGGGGTTTTGGCAGAGTGCCGGGGTGTGCAGAGGTGATTGGACATGGGATGCTCCATTGCAGGGATGCTGGAGCACGGAAGGATGCTGGAAGATGCGGGGATGCTCGGCTGTGCGGGGATGCAGGAGCATGCAGAGATGCCCGTGTGCGGCGATGCTCCGGCGTGCAAGGATTCCTGCACACACCGCGCTCTCTCACTGCAGTGCCTCGAGGCCGCTGTTTCCAGCCGCGCTCCACCACTGCCACCTACAGAGCGGGACCAAGAGAACACCGGGCCGGGGGCGGCCCTGAGTCAGTCTGGCTATGGGGGTCCCCGTAACCCGGAGCTCAGAGCCCGTGCTGGGGCCGGGAGGGGGGTGCAGGGGCGGGAGCGAAGCCTTTGCAGGATCAGCGCACGGCTGCCTTTCCCCGCGCCCCCACCATCATCCCGGGCGGTGCGGGACCGGCGGGGGGCGGAGCGGAGCGGGGCGGGACCGGTTCGGCCCCGCGGAAGGGGAGGCGGCGTTTCCTGCACGGGGTGAGAAGGGGTTTGGGGATTGTTCGGGTGTTCCTATTTCTCGTGTTCCCTAACGCTGCTCATGTGCCTCCCGGGGTTCTCCGGTGCTGCTCGGTGGTCCCGGGTGCTGCCGTGCTCCCGCTATGCTCTTATTGCCGTCCAGGTCCGTCGCACGCAGCGATGCCCGCGGAGCCCTTGGTCTGCGCTGATACGGCCACGCGGTGAGTGCGGGTCCCGGGCGGGGGGTGGGACAGGGACCGGGACCGGCTGCCGTTGACCCCGGCACGGTGCCGCTGCCCCCCCCGCAGGGTGAGCTCGGTGCTGAACCGCGACGTGAAGCAGTTCGGGAAGAAGCACATGTTTGACGGCAGCGAGGAGACGTGCTGGAACTCGGACCAGGTGGGGGGCACGAAAACGGGGGAGGATGGAGGGTGCGGGGAGGGGAGCGCACGGCCCTCCGTCCCCACCGTAACGCAGCCCCGGTATCACCTCTGCCTCCAGGGCTCGTGCCAGTGGGTCACCCTGGATTTCCCCCACACCGTCAGAGTCTCACAGCTCCACATTCAGTTCCAGGGGGGTTTCTCCAGCCGGCTGTGCACGCTGGAAGGTGAGGGGCTGTGGGGGGCTGTGGATGCTCTGCCTCCCTTTGTGCGCACCTGAGGGTTTTCGGGGCTGTGCCTGCTGCAGCCTGCAGAGCCCTGTAGCACCTCTGCACAACTGCCTCTGCCCTTATCCTTCACAGGCTGCAGAACAGGTGAAGAACTGGTGAAAATATCTGACCTGTACCCCGAGGACATCAATGCCATGCAGATATCCTTTGCCACGTTGCGGGTTGGAAGAGCTGTCTTGTTGGTGACAGTTCTGCAGGTGCCTGGTGGCACTTTGCTACTGGCAGCTCAGCAGAGCTGCAGTAATTCTGGACATCCCCACCCTTGCAGATCTCCCATGGGTCGAGGTTTTTCCCCTGCCTGTTTTCTTTTTCCTTCATGGGCCCCACACAGATTCCAGGTGGAGGAGACAGCGCTGGATACGTTGAAGATCACCTTTGAGAACAGCACTGACTTCTTTGGACGCATTGTGGTGTACCACCTCCAGGTGCTGGGGGAGAGGCTGTAGGGCAGCAGTTGCTCACCCATCACCTGCATTCCCCTGTGGAGGAGCTGCTCACGTGGGGAAATGGGACAGCAAGCCCCACCAGCAGTGATTTGCCACCCCCAGCTGTACCCAAAGCGCTGATGGAGCGGGGAACTCCACCCCATGGGATGGCAGAGCAGAGGGACACTCGTGCAGAGCACTACATGCTGGAATTGTAAGCCACCTTTGCTGTGTTTTGGTGGGATGCAGCCTGTGCAGATGGCTGAATAAATGCTGGTGTCCCACAGCTCCTTCCCAAATGCTCTTTCGGCAAACGACGCTCCAGGACTGAGCAGCTCTGTGTGTCCTGGACTCAGTGCTGTCAGAATGGTGGTGTATGGCTTGGGTGTGGGTGAGGAGGAGAAGCTGCCCCCTCCCTGGTTCTGGTGCTGGCTGTTTCTTGCCTTCGTCAGCCACCCCTGAACATAAGAGCAGCTGTTTGCAGACTTGCAGGGCTCTGGCTCAGCTGCTGGCTGAGGCCCTGCTGTATTGCTGGCTGGCAGGGAGATGCTTCCTGCTGCTTTTTGCTTAAGCCCTTGGATATTTCTCTGGCTGGTTATAGTGCTGCATGCAGGGAGGTCTTGGCAAGCTTATGGGCATAAGAGCGAGCCACGCTCTTCAAAGAGACAGCTCAAATTTAGGGGCAGTAGGAGGGTGCCAGCCTTCAAGAGTTGATTGGCCCGGTTTCCCTTCACAGTTCCTAGGCAGCTGGTGCTGGGATTGAGGGCTGGCTGCTGTGACAGACCAGGGGGATGCAATTGAGGCAGCAAACAGGGCTCCACGTTGCTGCTTCAGAGTTTATTTCCAAAAATGCAATACCTGAATGCACGCACAAAGCAGCTGAGGCTGGACAGGGCAGAAATGCAGCTGTCCTGAGGAGTGAGTGTCCCTAGGTGCAAGGCATTGAGGCCGTGCCACCTACCAGGAGTGGCAGAAATCTGCTGCAGTTCACAACTCCCTCCTTGTGCTCCTTGCAAGAAGCTTCTTCCTGCTGCCCATTTTGGGACCGCTGGGTCAGACCACGTTGGTCCCTGAGGAGAGCCCTGCGTCGGCCCACAGAAGCGCAGTGCAGCATGAGCTGCTGTGTCACTCCAGCCCCTTGTTCTGAAATAGCTTGAGGATGTGACTTTCAATAACCTGTTGGACTAACGAAGGGGGAAAGAGGAGAAATGAAAGCCAGAGAAGCCAGGGCTGTTAGAAGGCAGTATCTGCAGGCAGGAGCTAGTCTCTATCTGGTTTCTGATTTCTAGCAGGAAGGTAGAAACGCTGATCTCCTCTGTCCCAGCCCTGCTGCCAGCACAGCACTGGTTTGGAGGGGGAATAAGGGAATAGGACCCATTTTGATTTCTCTGGCTAAGTTTCTCTGCATGGCAAAGTCAAAAAGCTGTGCTGGAAGGTCAAAAAAAAAAAAAAAGCCCCGGGCAGGGTTGGGAGCTGGGAATTCCCTGAAGGCTTTTCAGGGAGGAAAGATGAGGCTCTGTGCCAAGCATGGAGGGGACACTTGCCTTTCTTGTGTCCCAGAGCCACAGCCAGATCCATCGGGGTGTAGCCAGAATCTGCTTCTGTCGTCAGGTCAGCACCACGAGCTGCAAGCAGGCAGTGCAAATCAGGGCACAGCGCTCCCACGGCGTCCCTTCCAGAGGTGGCACAGGGTGAAGAGACCCCAAAAAAGTGCCCATCCTGGCTGGGCAATGCCCTGTGACACCCCCAGGCTGCTCAGTCTCTCCCCCCAGGCATGTCACGCTCTGTCCCCAAGGTGGTTACCAACAAGCAGTGATTTTCAAGGCCAAGGAGTTTAAGCACAGATCTTCCCCGTTACCTAGAAGGGCCTCGACACACTTGACGTGGTTGCCACGCACGGCGTAGAGCAGAGGAGTACCACCATTCTGCAGGGAAAGGGAAGGGGCTGTGTCATTGCTGGCCTCGTGTGGGGCTGTGCTCATGCAGCTCCTGCTCCTCCTGGAGCAGTCAGGCCCTTTCTGCCCTTTTTGTTTGCCCTCTCCCAGCTCCAAACTGGGTGTTTTGCTGCAGAGTGGCCCTGCACAGGTTTTATTCTCTGTATGCCGTAAAATAATTTCAAAGGCAGCCTTCATTTCTGAGTGCAATTTCCTACAGGCTCATAACATCACCAGTGTGAGCAGCTGAGGAAACAATTTAAAACTATTATCCAGATTAATTTCTCAAAACAACTGCACGAGCAAATAAATGAGCGCTGCGAGCCTGGGAAGCAGCAAGGAGGAACACATGGCTGCTAACAGCACAGAACAGTGTGAACTCACTGTTTTGTTTTAAAATGAGCTGCACGAGCCTTGTCTGGGTCTTGGTCACCACTGGTGGGGTTCCTACAGCAGTCTGCACTCAGCAGCACTCACCCAGTCGTAGATGTTGATGTCCACGTTCCTCTCCAGCAGCATGATGACAATGTCGGTGTAGCCACCCATGCTGGCCAGGGACAGGGCACTCTCCCTCTCCTTTGCCAGCATGTGTGGGTCAGCACCCTGGGGACAGCAAAGATGTCAGTCCCAGTGTGTGAAGGCTCCTGGGGAGCTTGGCAGAGCCGTGTTGGGCAGCCTGATGTGGCTGGTGGTGGTGGTGCCAGATCCCAATGGCCTCGTGGAGAAGAGGCTGCTCCCATGTTTCCAGTGAGCAAAGTCTTTACCAGGCGTATTTATACGTGTCTCAGCTGAGGAATTAAAAGCCTTTCTCCAGTGTCATTAAACTAAGCCTGATGGTTCCTGTTACTCAGCCTCTTTTCACATCATTAACACTGGTACCTGGACAATACACACCCTCTATTTTGTTACTAATTTACCTAGAAACCTACCCTGTGCTCCAAGCTCTGCTAGTCATGGATTTCAGTATGTCCTTTAGCAGCGTACCACCTCATTAATTTTGGGTTCTGTTTGTTTCTCTGGTAATGAACTGCAGTTCTGCTGCTAACAGAACCAACATCTGGCCAGTGCTTATGTGGCACAAGCAGACACGTGGATGTGGGACTGAGCCTTGGGCAGCACCCTGACTCCAGGCACAGGAGGATCTGGTTCCTGTTCACCCCCACGCAGCCCTGGGCTGCATGCCTGGCTCTTGAGGACAATGCAGCAGTGAGTTCATTAACTGCAATGATGCCTCCGTGAGCACATTTTCTGTCAGATTACAGGGCCCGAGTGACAAGTCTGATCTCAAATTACCAATAAGCAGATATTTAATTACAAACAGTTATTGCTAGCTGTGAGATGAGGCTCTCTGTGCTCCTGATTTAGCCCGATGGGAAGCATCCAGCACTATCTGGCCCATTACCCCTGAAAATGTGTCCTGTTTGATGCCATGGGAAAGGCTGGCTGAGGCAACATTGGGACAGTGCAAGACTTTTTGGCAGCCACAGGGCTTGGAACTGAGAAGTCTCTTGATAATCAGGTGCTATGTAAGCGTGGCCTTACCCATTCCAGCAGGTGACGGACTGTTTCGATCTCTCCAAAGGCTGCAGCCCAGATCAGTGGTGTGAAGCCTCTCTCATCAGGTTTATTTACCAAGTTCTCACCTGCATAAAAAGCAGATGAGACAAATAGGATGCTTAAAACCTTCCCTGCTTCCTGTCCCCTAAGTAAACCCAGCAAAGGCTGTAAAACTAAGCCAAGGGTTTATCAAAAGATGCTCTATGACCCAGCAGGACTCTGCATGATCTGAGGTGTGAACCCAAAGGAAAATGCATACCTTTCTGAAGATGCTTCTTCAGCTGGCTGAGCTCACCTTGGGCAGCTAGCTGGTGGATGGACAACGCTGGGGGACAGAGAGAATTCAGCCTTCAAAACTGTTTTCAGCTCAGCATCCACCATCTGCAGGGGAGTCCCTGGAAGTGCCAACTGAACAGCCCCATCTGAGCTTCCCATGCCCCAGTGGGTAATTAACTCCCTCCTGCTGGTCAGTGGTGGATGCTTCATACAGCATGGCAGCAGCAGATGGAGGGAGGTGCCAGTTCCACTGCTCCCTCCACACCCCACATGCATCTGAAGTCTGAGGTGCACAGCTCAAGCTGCCCAGCTCTACTTACTGTCCAGGGTGGCTGGGAGGGCTGAGATCTCATTGCCTCGCTGCCTGTTTGTCAGTGTGTTTGAGTGCTTCAGGGGGAAACCTGTTCCAGAGAGAGGAAAGAGTCAGGGCACATCTCTGTGCACAGGGAGGAACGAGACTAACTTGAGGCCCAAAGCCTCATAAAAGCTCATGTAAACCTCATGTGACTGATCTGAAGCTATTCCTTCCTGCCCCTGCCAAAAAAAAAAAAAGAATTATTGCCTTGCAGATGAAAAGCCTGGAGATCAACGTTTGACCAGTGTGAGGGAACAACAGCTGAGCAGAGAAGATAAAACAGCCTGAACAGCTGCCCAAGGAGGGGCATGGCCCATCTGGGCACTGCAGGAGACAGGGATCTTGCATTAATGGCATAATTGCACACAATATATTGCAGAGGACAGCCTGGGGATGCACTCAAGTTCATCCTCGTATCTCCTACAGAGGAAAGAGCTCCACTTGGAAAGCCTGACGTATTTTCAACAAGGAATTTGTAGTATAATGAGAAAAGTACATGGAAAGAGTTTGCAATCTTCAGTTCCACTGCATGGAGCTACAGCGACCTCTCACTGCTGCTATGAGTCATCAGCAAGGCCTGGATTTGGACTTAGTCTTGCTATGTTATGAAAGGGACCAACAGCAGTAAAAGACATTTTTTTTTCCCTGGCTGTCTTTGTAGGATGAGAGATTCTTTTGCCAGCACATGATTTCTCCCACTCCTGTCTCTTACTGGGGCTGCACCCAAGGATCTGCAAGCACCAGTTTCTGTGATACTCACTGTCAAGGGTCGAGAGCTCAGGAGTCCTTTGCCTGTCCATCGAGGCAGCTGAGGGCTTCGGGAGAGTGTTTGTTCCACCTGCAGAGGGATGGTGGCCATTAGGGACCTTGATGCCACTTGCTGGAGAGCAGGCTGGGTTCCAACTGTGGCACACAGGCACCTCTACCCCACTGGGGGGTGTAGGATGGCTAATCTTGCCAGGTTCTTTCCCTGTATGAAATTCCCTGGAACGCTGGTTCAAGTTTTGAAGCTAAGCTCCCCTCACACTGGCACTGTGGCACTGTGCCACAAAGTGCCCTGTTTTTAATGAGGATTCCAGGCTCCAGCCAACACCAGCAGGTCTGTGTGTGCCCTGTCTCAGCTCTGACACACCCTCACCCCAGCAGTCACCTTCCACGAAACTG